CCAGTTTCTCATATTATTTGCTCAGCATACAGGTTGAATAAGTATGGTGAAAGAACACAACCTTGTCACACACCTTTCCCAATTTTAAAACATTCAGTGTTCCCATGCGCTGTTAGAATAACTGCTTCTTGGTCCAGGTACAGACCTCTCAGAAGTACAATTAAGTCTTCTGGAATACTCATACTTTGCAATGTTGTCCATAGCTTGTCATGGTCCACACAGTCGAAAGCCTTTGCGTAGTCTATAAAGCATAGGTAAACATCTTTCTGATTTTCTCTGCTTTCAGCCAAGATCCATCAGACATCAGCAATGATATCTCTCATTCCATGGCCTCTTCTAAATCCAGCTTGAACCTCTGGAAGTTCTCAGTCAATGTATGATTGTAGCCATTTCTGTATTACCGTTAGCAAAACTTTCTCGCTTGAGATATCAAAAAGATTGTCCGATGATTTCCTCATTCCATTAGGTCGCCTCTCTTTCGAATGGGCACAAATATGGATCTCTTCCAATCAGTCGGCCAGATAGTGGTCTTCCAAATTTGTTGGCAGAGATGAGTGAGTGCCTCTTGTGCCGCCTCACTTTCTTGAAAGATTTCAATTTTCAGTCTATCAATGCCTGGTGCCTTGTTCTTTGCCAATTCCTTCAATGCACTTTGGACTTCCTCCCTGAGTATCATTGGCTCTTGTTCATATGCTACCTCTTGAAATGGTTCAACATTAACCAATTTCCTTTTGGTACAAAAGCACAAAGCATTAATAAAATGAAAATGATGGTGCAGACTATTTTTTTCTCTTTTCCATTAAGTTATATTATACACAATGGGCAATGGTGTTTCAGTGCTATATTTTTTGCTTTCCATGGAATTCAAGTCCTGGTCAATGAATCTCATGTGTAGCCACTACCCATCTATCAGTAGAAGCTTGCTGTTGCTATGATGATGCACAAGTTTTAGGTGTGCTTCCAAATGACAGTACACTAGCAAGAAAAGCATGGTGATCTACTTCTAGAAGTCAGCCAATGAAAACCCTATGGAACATCCTAAAGCATCATGGGTGTGGCTCACAGGGTTGGTGCAGAACCCGCCACTTTCTGTAGGATGTACGTGGCATCCTAATAGATGGAAACTAACAACAACAAAGGTATGCACTATAAAGCTTAATTTCCAAATTATCTCTGAATCTTAGTTTGGCGCAAAAAAAGAATAACATGAATTGGCATTTAAAATTTTTCAATGTGTAAACATATAACGTTTTTGTGCAAAGTTCGTGCATGGTAGCAGCATCGCGACTTCTATAGTTTATGCCAGACATGATTCTTACTTTTTGAGAGTTCAATAAATAATCCTTGATATAGCACTGTATGATGGAGTCCTGGTGTGGTGCTGAGGGTTAATGCACCAGACTACAAAGCCATTTGAACTGCAAGATTGGCAGTTTAGGCTCACCAGCTGCTCCTCAGAAACCCTATACAGAGTCGCTATGAGTCGGAATAGATTCCACAGCACTTAACAACAACAACAAATGGCACCATATTATAAGCACTGGACTGCTAACCTCAAAGGTCCTGAGTTCAAATCCACCAGCTGTTCCTCAGAGACCCTAACCAGGGTTGCTATTTATTAGAAACCCACTCCTTGTGGTGGTGTAGGATAAGTACTGGAGTGTTAACCGCTAGGGCCGCTGTTCTAACCCGCAAGCCGCACCTACAAACATTATACAGGGTCGCTATGAGTTAAAACCTACTAGACAACACTTAACAACAACATATGCATTATGTGGCTGACTGGTGTGGCACTGGGGATTAACGTACTGGACTACAAAGTCCCTTTGAATTCCAAGGACAGAGGTTCAAGTTTGCCAGCTGCTCCTAGGAAACCCTATACAGGGTCGCTATGGGTCGGAACCGACTCAACGGCACTAAACAACAACAACAATATATGTTCTATGTATATATGTTGAATTTAAGGCAAATTAGCCTCAAAGGATAAATGAATTACTATTAAACTTTCCTGAATCTTATGAAGCTTATAAATCTACCATAAAACAGTTAAAGGCACTTGGCCTCTCAGAATTTAAGCTCCAAAGGAAGGCTGCTCCAGCAGGGCTTGGGTAGTAAAGTTGCTTCTGGGCCCAGAGGCCAATTTGGCAAGGAACTTCTGACAAACACAGATTATACATGATAAAGTCGCCACACTTTTAACTAAGCAAAGCATAAATGGCCCTTTCAGCATGAGTTAGGAAGTGGGAGGTTACAGAGCCCAGCAAACCCATTTTACTTTTTCAAGGGATTCCCATACCTAAGTGTCTTAAGTTTTCTGCTCCATGAGGCTAAGAATTGAAGCCTCCGTTGGTAGCAGAGCAGGTGCCTCATCAAGGAAGTGCTTCACTCGTTATTTGAAGTATCTCCACGACTACTTTGTCCAAGTACTACTTTTAAATGGGTTTGGGAGCAGTGAAAAAGGTCGGGAAGAAAGATAGACCACGCTGGTGAGATTAAAGATAAGCAACAAAAAGGCGGGCAACAGGAACAGGCGGGCGGTGGCCTAGAGGGCACAGGACACGCCTAGCAGAGGGACGGGGCTGGGGAGGATGGGGGTGGGGCGGGACCACGTGCCAGTCCCAGGGTTCGCAGCTTCAGCGGGCCAGGAGTGTTCGAGAACGCCCAGGCTGCCGGCCGTTCTAGGGGAGAGCATCCCAGTTCCGGGACTGTTCTCGCCAAGCTCTTGAGTTTGTAGCTCGAAGGTACGTCTGCACCTATAATCCCAACCCGGGATTGGGAGGTGCTCGCGGCAGGAGGAGTGTAATGCGAGGCTGAACGCTTGGCGACCGGCGTTGTGCCCCTCAGAACTAGACGCCGGACGAGAGGGGCGCGCTCCAACTCTGCTCGCCGCGCGGCTGGTGGGGGTGGGGGCATCCGTCCGCGGGGAGCTGCGGAAGAGCAGGCGCGCCGCGGACCCGAGGGAGGGCACGGCTTCAGCATTGCCATCAACTCTGAGCCCTTAAAGTCCTTCCTAGGGCAACACAGTCTCCCTCACGCCCCAAACCACCGAAGGCGGCGACACCTGATCCAGCACACAAACACGGGTCCCTTCTGTCCTCGGATACGATTACGCGGCAGAGACACACTCAAACTCACGCGTAGCAGCCAAGAAACCAGGTAAATCGAGGGACCATCCCACTCCTGAGGGTTGAAGGGGGGCGGGCTGGGCGGAGGAGAGGGGCGTTGTTTGCTTCGAGAGGTGAGTTAGGCGAATGGCTGTGATCAAAGAGGGGAGGGGACACGGGGCGGGGGTGGTGAGGTAGTGTTCGGCGGAGTCGGTTCCGACTCAGAGCGACCCTGTATAGAGTTTCTGAGGCTGTAAATCTTTACGGGAGCAGAAGGCCTCATCTTTCTTTCGTGGAACCTCTGGTAGTTTCGAACTAGCTGGCCTTGAGGTAGCAGCCGGACTCGTAACCGCTGCGATGCCAGAGCTCCTTGGGGGCAGGGATAGGAGTCGCAAAGTGCAGATGGAGTTTGGCTGAGGGAGTTTGGAATGAGACGGTGTGGTGGGGGGAGGGGAGAAAGGCCGGCTTTGGAAAGGGTGCTATGGGGGTCTGTCCTGGCTGCCTCCGAATGCTCTCGTACCTTTTCCTCTCCCATATGGCAGCCGCTGAGAATCCTCTCTAGTGTACGATCATTCAGACAGAGAGAGAATAATGGGGCGCTGAGCTCCCGGGCTACGGATCCAATCGAGGACCTTGCAGTTGACCCTTAGAGGGAGGATTTGTGTAGCGGAGCTCGGAGGCCAGAGCCCACTGTCCCGCAGGGATGGGGGCGGGAGGGGGCGGGCTAAGGTGCTTCGGTACCTCTCCCACTATATTCTGCCATTCTCCTAAAGGGAAAAACCGAGCATAAGACATTGGGGGTGGGGAATGTTTCCGGACTGTCTTCACACAACGCAGGGACCATCCTTTCCGCGCGACCCCCAGAAATGGACAGTTGTGTCACGGATGGGCACGAGTCCCACGCGGATACGGCGTGCCCTGGCATTAAGAAGTTTGTGAGGACCTCTAGGTTTAGAGAGTGGGTGACGGCAGGCGGGCGATGGAAGGACGTGCTGAAGGGAGAAGGGCGCCTTGATAGAGCTGGAGGAGTGACCTGGGAGCCCTGAATATGCGGTTTAGGGTTTTAGGGAACAGCGTCGGAAGCTGCAAATATATGCCGCACAATGAGGCAAAGGATAATCAAAGGAGGCAGTAGTGTGAGGGTGGAAGTGTACCAGATCTGTTTGTGTAAAACCACTGGTTTTGAGGGTTCCTAAAGTTGGGAACAGTGAACGTGCAGCTCTGTAGAACTTCCTTAAGGAAAGGACTTCCTGTGAACCGATACTTATATTACTAATTACAATCTCTTTAGGGCGGGACTGAGGTGGAGAACTTCAGAGAAAGGCCGGCAAATGAATGCGGAAGGCTAGTTCTGTTGAGCTAGTCATTCTCTGGGTGTAAAACGGGGAAGGGATGGATTACCTTTGAAACTAGGTGTAACTAGCATTCACTTCCACTATGAGCCAGCAAGTGTGGGTAAGCTGCAAAAAAAAACCTGTTAGTGCAAGTGAGTTTCTAGATGGACAATGTATAAAAACAACCCCCTACTGAAAAACCTTTAGTCTCATCTGACTGTCACCTTGTGAGTTTTCAAGATTAATCAGATGAAAGCATGGCAGTTTGGTTAGGTGCCAAGTATGCTGTTGGTTCTATATCTGATACATTTCACGTTGGGAAAAAAAAAAAAAAAAGTGTTTACTTAGAATAGGTGTGCTTCATTTCCAAGTATATCTGCAAAAAAAAAAAATAACTCATTTGAAGGAAGGATAGAAAGTGCATTTTAATAGGTCAATACATTTAGTAGGAGTATTTGCATTTTGCCCCTCCCCCCCAGATATTAAAATTAATTAAAAAGTCATGAGCCTCAAAAACATATGGCAAAGTATAGTAGAAATTTGTGTTAATTGGTTTAGATCTGAGCCTGTGCTCTTTCCATCTCAGAGAAGAAAACAGCAAATTTAGTTTCTCCTGTAGAAACTACCTCCTAATACTTTGAGCTTTTACTCTAGGAATGTGGCTTCTTTCAGCAACTAATTTAGATAATTCCATAGGAAGCAAACTAATATTCTTTGATTTACCTGCTACCCACAAAGTTAAGTGGATATGTCATGTTGTGAATCTAGTGCTATTGAAACCAAAGTCATTGCCTGGGTGTCAGTTCTGATTCATGGTGACCCTGTATCTGATTTCCAAGACAGCCTCACCTTTCTCCTTCCTATCTACTATTCTAAAGAGTGCTCGGAAACTTCAACCAAGCTCAGTTCCTAATATTTCATAAAAGTTCTATAATGTGTTAGGAATTTGAGCAACTGAGAAGAAAGTATGCTTTGGCTTTTTCTGGGTAATAGTGCTGTCAAGATTTGAACTCTTCTTAAATTCAAAATTTATGCTTGCTGTATGTATTCTCAGGAGCCATAATAGAAGAAATAAAGGAATGTAGTAAATAAAAATATTTGTAACAAAATTAGATTTTTGTGAAATCTACCTTTAGTTTAAAGCGCTTCCCAGTAATTTAATTTAAATTGATTAGACACTTCATGACACCTTTTTAACAGTCATCAGCTTTATCATCATTTAAATTGATGAAAAATGAAGAGAATAATCAAAATTATATGTTTGTATCAAATAATCTAAGGAGCCCTGATAGTTCAGTGGGTTATGAGTTGGGCTGTGAACCACAGGTCAGCAGTTCAAATTCACCAGCCACTGTGATGGTGAAAAATAAGGCTTTCTGCTATAAAGATTTACAGCCTCACAAACCCATAGGGTTGCTTTGAGTCAGAACTGACTGGTTGGCACACTACCACCATAAGATAATATTAATATGATAATGTAAATTCACATTAGTTTTCCAAGGTATACCTTAAGAGTAAGATCTTTTGATAATTTATGTAGTTTATAGTAATATCTCATTTATTTTATACCATCTGTATTACTGCTTATTTACATCAGCATATTTTCAAAATAGCTGATCCCTCACATACATAATTACTAAAACATTAAAAATATAGCCAATCAAAGAATTTCTAAATCTTAACACCCTTTGTTATTCCCTTGGGGGGGAATATTTCATACAAGCAAAGATTTTTTAATTGGGTTGTCTTTAAACCAAATTGATAAAGAATTGAATAGTGTTATTCCTTGAGGTGTATAGAGCTGTTTTTGTTTATACTAAATGGTCTTAGTTTGCTGGGTTGAGATGCTGGAAAGCAGACAGAAGTACCATTCTTCTTTTTATGTTTTTTTGTGTCTGCTTTCTGTTATCAGCTACCATTTTCTACTACTGTCAGGGCTTGAGCAGACCCTGCTACTATAGTATTTGTTGTCTTTTTTTTCATGAAATGGTGTGGGCTCTTTCCTGAATATAAAGTTTATGGACTTTGTGACAGAATATCAAGCCAGTTGACTATGTGACACACTCTTGCTGTTCCCAGGCTTTATTTCTGTGCTAGATTGTGAGCTCAAGGGCTGAGATTCCCAGAAGGATGGCCTTTAAATAATTGTGTTTTTAACAGAAAATTTTTTGTATGAGTTCTCTAGAAATCGGTCTCAATTTCATTGTTTTTCTGAAAAACTGAAGCTTCCCTTAAAAAAGTTTATTTCTTTTCTTTTTTTCTTTTAAATGTTTTATTGTGAATAATTGATAGTTTACATGGGAGAACATTAGTTTTACATTCATTCTATCATATATCGTCTCACTGCCATGGTTGCAGTCCCCTCCATGCAATCCTTCCCCCGTACCCCCCAGGTCTTCAGCACACAGTCTCTCTCCCTCTCTGGGTCTAAAGTCTCCAGCTGCTCCATGTCATCATCTCTGGCTCCATTTCAGGCATCACTGCTTCTCTGGGTAGGGAAGCTTTTCTCCCTTGATGGTCCTAGGGACCTCTGCTCCTAGACTGAAAAGTTGATCACTCCCCTCCTAGCTATAAAACATCTACCTTTACATTTCCGACCCTCACAAACAGTCCTGATAACAATTATTCACTATTGGATCACAAGAGACCCGTCTGCATTTCATTGCATCAGCTCTACCTAGTCAGATTGAATACTACTCACTGGAGATTCTGCCTTCCTCTAGGCCCTCTGGATCAAGGTTCCCTCTGGAAAGCTTGTAAGCCAGTCACTTCTTGCCTTCGTAGCCCCCCGCCCCCCATTTTGGGCAGCTAATGTCCAAATTCTCCATCTCTGTCCACTCTGTGTGTGGAGGGGGTGGGAATGATTCTTGCTGTAAGGACATATTCCCTCTTTTGAGCTACTGCTTCCATAGGTGTAGGTCAAGTTCATCAAATTGTATGAGGATACTTTTTGTTTTTGTTTTGTTTTCCTCTTCTTTTTACTTCTGGTTGAGCTCTGATCATCCAGTCACTGAAGCCAGGATAAGTGGGTATTATCTTCATAGTATTCTGTTATTATCCTTTTGATTTCCTTTGGTTCCGTTGTGACATCTCCCATGTGGTTTCTAATGCATGTTATTTTTGTCTTCTCCCTCTTTTCTTTTGTTAGGTTGGTCAATGGTCTGT